TATTCTTTCGAGCAAACAAATCTTTTTAAAGTGTCATTTCGGTATTATTATAAGGATTGTACCTAGTCATGTGATCACTGTCTGATAGTAGCTCAATGTCATCCACTAAATGGTTCCCGTTTAAAGGGATGGGAGATTAATTCTATATACATGTATACATGTAAATCGATTAATTAGATTTAAATCACACAGATTCATTTCATATTATTTGATTTTCAAAGTTTTAAAATGTTCTGTGAATAACTAGGGTAAAAATAACAATTATAGTGTCTGATATCTTTGCTTTCATATATTTTTGGTTTTTACGTGATATGTTCACTATTTATAGATTAAAAAAATGATGCACCTAGTCTTTGATAAAATATCTATCTATAGGCATACAGGAAAACACATAGGAAATTCCCTTTAAAAATTACTGTTGTTCTTGGTCAGTGTCTATCAAAGGTAAGTGTTAGGTTTTGTTCTGAAATCGATGTTATTTCTTAAGTTTATTGCGATTGACTTATACTTCGACATTTTATCTTCTTGTTTAAAGATTTTCTTAAAGTTTTTTTATTATTTCCGAAGTTTATTATATATATTGTTTGTACATAATCGATATGTTATATTTCAGGAAAATTAATTGATACATTTCTTGACTCTCCCTTAAATTAATGATGTTGATAATTTTAATTTATTACAATACGCTGTAAATACATTAATTTCTAAACAAACACATGTGCACCAAGCCTACAGAGATAAACAATCCTTATAGATAGTTACATATTTTCACAGGTACGTCGATTTAACCTTACTGATCGAGAAATCCCTGTATGAATTTCATGACCTTTAAATATTATTTTAAGAATAAGAATGGTGTTATTGTAATACGATGTAGATAAGGTCATTTTACATTGAACAGTCATTAAAGTACGTGTAGATAAAATAATCTTTATATCGATGTGTACTATAGACATTGTTGGAAATCTGAACGTATTTTCCTTATCTGAGAAAAGGACTCGCGATTTTTTCATTCTTTTTAATTAGATACATGTATGAAGTCTAATAAAAATGTACTTTTGCTTATCTTACCTGAAAATATGCCACATATTCCTCATTTTGTTAAATTATAGAAACTGTTATAAAAAATACTTTAAGGGAAACATTTAATTCTTAATTTTGATTTTTTTTTTGTTAAGGAATCTGATTTTACACTTGTTTAGTTGTCCCTTGTCAATTACTGTAAAGGAACCATATAAGTTTGCAATGCCTTTCACAATAAGTAAGTATAGATTCTTTACCACAACTTATCTTACTGCCACTTTGATTCATTCATTCATGGGTTCTTAGAGAATCATGATAACCTTAACGAAAGATCTGAGCAGTATATCACGTTTGTTGATATGTGACATTATTTCTTCAATATTTGCATTTTTCTTCATTATACGTCATTTTCTCACATATTTTCCCATTTATCCCTTTAATAGAGCTCATGTGATATCGTTTTCATATCAACATTATGTATTCCGACGCCGAGTGACGTAATGTAAATAATCAAATACATGTGCATGATGGAGAGAATGACTTAACTTGTCAAATTTCACTTTATTTGATATATTTTAACAAATTTTTATTCATGAATTAAAAAAATAATAAATGCTGAAACATTTTTTTTTTATTTTTGAACAAACTATTCCATACAACGTAATATGATTTTATTACGTTATTTAGTCCGAGGTAACGAAAGGAGACAAATTACACATTTAAAGTGAACAAAAATATGTGATAAAAAGAATCTCCGATGATTTGTGGTTTGATAGGATTTTTATCCAACTCGTTGTATGTTTTCTATCCCCTCGACAAGGCTCGGGAATAGAAAATTCACAACTCGTCGGATAAAAAATCATATCAATCCACAAACCGTGGGAGATCCTATAAATATTTATTATACTTTCTTGTTTAATACTGAAATCTGATTGGTTTAGATGCAGTTAACAATCTGTTCTATTACCCTCAGCCTTAGCAACACACGTGACAACGGGTAACAGAACGGTGATGCCACATGTTGGGAAATTATGCGCGTACGGTTCACCGTAGAATTCTCAAAACGTCAGTTGCGCGTTTGAAAGAACCGGAATAAACTTGACGTCAATAAAAGCTTGCGTCCGATGTAGCTTACTTGAAAACAACAAACGACAGACGAAACATGCTTGCGAGTGCAGAAATAACGAAAGTTTAGATGATAAAGAACTCGTAGAGTATCAAATAAACAATAAAGAGTTCAGTAAATCTTTTTCGAAGTAGCGGGGAGTTTGAAAGCTTTCTAAACCTGAAAGAAAAGGCGATCGACGATTTGTTGTATTGCTGACATTTTAAATCTAGAAGACATTCAGTATAATAAAATAAATGGTGTCTGTTTTGGATGGTAACAGTTGAAATTGACACCCCTCGGAAAACCATTGTCAACCTACTCTGACGCTTCGGTTGACAGTTGTTTTCCTTTGGGTGTCAATTTCAACGATTACCCTCCAAAACAGGCACCGTTTCTGTAATGTTCATACGTTATCGATACAATGTTCTTGAATCCAGAAACAACTGTTTCATGAAATGAGAATGCCGATTTGATAGAAAATTGTAAGTTGTAAGTACATGTTCTCTACGGAATACACATTTTATGCAGATTGCATATTATTTCATATAATTTTTCAATGCTGCATTATACATGTACATGTATCAGGATCTTGATATAGAAAAACAGTATCTATTCATTAGTTTATTACAATGATAAGTGCATATATTTTGTTTGTCTTATTTTTATGTCCTCCTACGGGGGGTAAGTAGCCTTTACCTTATCATTCTGCCTGTATATTGGTTTTTCAACAAAATCTGTCCAAAAATATTGATTTGGTAGATTTATGACTCACATACTTCACATATTTTTTTTTCTTAAAAATTAATTTATAAACTTTGACCTTTATCTCTGACGAATATTTCTGAATCATTAAACCTAAATCTAAATTGCCAGTGCTAAGGTTGTCATGTTTTCATGTTTCAAAAAGTGTACTATTGATATAACATTTTTTTTAAATGTTAAGGAATAATTATATTTTTATTCATAGAGGGTTTTGAAGTTCCTGTAAGCGTTCCAAAGCTAGACACGCCAGGACCGTCAAGACCACGTTTTGGACATTCAGGAAGTGGTCCGGTTAAAGCCCCGTTACGACCACCACCACCACCACCACCTACCGGCAATTGTGAACATAAATAAATATGTCAAGAAAAAAACTATAATTTGTATACAGCAATACTTGAGGATGAAAACGTTTATCATTTACTTTCTCAAACATCTGAAATAAATCTTTTGGAAGAAATCTGAAATATCGCACTTAACGTATTTTTTTTTCTATTTAAACAAATAATATAAAACATTTCATATTTAAAAAAAAAAATCTGCAAGTTATTTGTTGTTCATATAACAATTTTACATATATGTGAATTTGTTTAATATAACAAATTATCTGAGTGTATTTTATTTCTCCCTCCATATCTTCCTTTTGATATCAAATATTTCAAATGAATTGCTAGGAAAAGAAATAAAATGACTGACTGTGTGTTATTTATGGCACATTCTAGAATGTGTCACTCATATACAAACATCACTATATATCGATGAAGGGAGAGTTCGCTTCGTGATCAGGAGGCTCGGATTCTATTCTCGTTCGCTGCGCAGCATCAAACCTAAGACGTAAGCATAGGTATATTTAGTCACTGAACATTCCTTTGCAAAGGGCTCGACATTAGAAGTGAAAGTCACCGGACCATTCGGATATGACCTTAAAATTGTAAGTTCAGTGTCATGGTAGGGGGTTGCACGAGAAAGAACCCCGAATGCTCAATGTCACTGAGTACCGAGAATAGATCTAATTTGAAGCTAATCACCGGCACACGGTGACTTCTCTAGATGCGTAAAAAAATTCTCCAATGTGATGTTACACTATACATATATTACATGGCTTCGAGGGCAGCATACCATAATATATGCCTCAAGTTGATAGGAAAGTCCTGGAGTGTTATGTCGCCCGATGCCGAAGGCAGAGGGCGACATGACACTCCAGGGCTTTTCTGTCACCGAAGGTAAAATATTCTGGTATTGCTGCCCGAGAATAAAGCTATGTATAACATTTTTAAACATTGAACCAAAATCGGTATTCCGACATCGAACACACTTATTGAACACTATGTACACATGTACGTTGAGTATGATTCCGAAATATCCTGTCCTGTTTCATGGCAGAATGTTTTCAATATGTTGACACTTTTGATGGTAACCTTTGTTACAAATTTCAAGATTGTTCTCCTCAATTTAATTATCTAATTCTTCTGAATTCAAATGAACAAATCGCAGATGTTGTCTCGACTTTTTAATTTTCGCGGAACTGTTTACGTTTGCTTAGCAACTGCCTCTGAGAATTTCGAACCCGACGTATTTGATATGCAGAATGATCGAAGCGAGGGAACATAACTGTGTGCGGGAAGGCAACATAACTGTTTCCGGTGGAACATAACTGTATCCGGCGTAATTCGGCAGTTTTTCAGTTATAAAAGTATAATATTTGTGATATAATGGGAAAACTTCTTCAAAAATGTTATATAAAATATTATTAATCGATGAAGAGCTTTAAATTTTGATCTTTACTGGACACTCAGTGCCACCAAGCATTGAATAATTTTTAACTGTGCTGATATATTTTATTGCATAACTATTTTTTTAATTTTAATTGATTATATTAACACATTTTAAATTAAATTATCAATGTGTATTTTTCTCCCTCATTAAAATAAACCAGTTCAATTTGCAAGTAATTAATAAAATAGCAGAATACCATTCTTCACCTTTCTCCACCTTTATTTTTTTTTTCACCCTACAATTGATGTTTCAACAAATTTATTTTCACATTATGTCACGCTGCAAAATGTAAGACATTCATGTCTCTTGATTTAAAATACAATTTAAAAATGCATTGGTCTTAATGTAATTCAACTATTATATCGATTTGAGAAGATATTTATCTCAAGTCTTCATATTGGGATTGCTTTATTACTTCACCAAGCGCCTGATATCTGTTACCGTCATCTTCGTCCGTTTTGAAAGGAATTGTGTAAAGTTCCAACTTTACTGACTTTCTTTTATCACCCACCCCACTTAGCTTCTGTTTCTCCTTCTTTTGTCTGACTCTCCTTCTACAGTTATGATAAAAAAATGAATATGAATTCAAAAATTAAAAAAAAAATCCTCATATACATTTGAATTATAAAACCTTGATTGTAATGATTGCCACCTTTCTTTTGCCATTATTAAATGCATTAATAATATATGGCATATTGACTTGACGTAGTTTTTAAAGATAGACACCAAATAACCCTTAATATTTATCCCAAACAGTTTTATAAATTCTGAATTAAAGCTTAAGGATATTACCTTACGTAAAATATCTTGAAAATAAAAAAGAACAATATCTGTTTACTATTTGAAATGAACTTTGATTAAAAAAAGAAGACGAACCTATTGAAAGCAATGTAGGTACAAACCACCAAAAATACAACTATGCAGACTCCTATGACTGCAAACACGCCATAGAACCATGACGGAGGATCCATGTCAGCCTTTCTTTCTGCCATTGTATCGAGAGAGAGAGAAAAAAATAGTTCGCGATTTTCAATTATATTACCTTAGAATAACCACATAAATAAGGAGCATTGAAGGCATGTATTTGGAGTGAAACAATTCACCCAAGCTGACCCATACAAATAAAAGAAAGGATATTGTCCTTGCAAACATTTCAATCCTTGCCATCCACCAATACATCCATCCTTACAATATCCAGTCACGTGGTGACAGTCACGTGATGTCTTGCAATATAAACTGCATCTTTCTTCGCAATCAGCTCCATAATAGCCTTTATAACACACTATTGTAAATGACAGAATATAAGAAAAGAAATACGTTAAATAGTTTCGTCATCTAATAGACAAATTTAAGCTTTTCCTTGTTTTAGGGACCAAAAAAAGCAAATACATATTGAGAGTTTGCACAATTATTTGTTTCTTGAATCTATGTGTTATTTATTTATTTATTTGAAGAAGGGGGGAGGATCAAACAGAAAAAAAACCCAGGGTTACCCTGATTGCATAATGTCCCTTGATACCCTTCAATATACGGCCCTGTGCAGGAACCATTTACATGATGGCAAAGAGAGTCCTGACAAAACCCACAGGCAAAACTGCAGTTTTGACCATATCTGTTTTCTGTGCATGCTTATTGCATGCGATAGAAAAAGAAAACAATATCAATTAAAACATAGATACATAGAAGTTTAAATTACTTTTGAAGTAAAGAAAAGTTCTTGCAATTTTTTATACTGTAAATTCCTTATTTTTCGCGAGAACTTATTATCGCGAGAAAGCTATTTTACGTCAAACCGTGAGAATAATTATTCGCGATTCGATGATTCATCAAGAGAAATTTAATGGATTTCAGCACCTTTAAATATAAAAGGAGAATTTTTATTTCGAGGTTGATGCTTCTCGCGAAATTAGGCAGTAATTACTTCCTCGCGTAAAATTAGGAATCTAGAAAACTTTTATTTTCAAGCATTGTTTAAGAAACTTAATGGGGAAAGAAGTAGAAATGGCAATCATATTAAACTGGAAAAGATAGTTGATCCTCTCAATCTTTGTACCTTGTTCACATTGAGGTCCTTCCCACCCTGGATGATATCCACCCTCACATTCACCTGTTGTTCTGTCACATTGATATGGCACGCCACAGTTTTTATTACAGTTCTGCTCACAATTATTTCCAAATGTACCAACAGAACAACCTATCAATATATGTTGTGTATTTATGCTATACATATATTTGTACAGATTATCATTCACCTACGTCGTACAGCAATCATGTTTAATGTATTGAAATGTTGAAATACAGATAAAAAATGTTTCTGGAGAATCACAAAAGAAATTACTAGTTTTACAGAGCTCTCCCGTAAATCCAGCGTCGCAGCCTTCAGTACACGAACCATTGATGTGATTACATTGTTTATACCCCTGACACGCTCCACATTTCTCTCCACAGTCATGTCCATATCTTTTACCGTTACACTCTAACAAATAAATAAGAATTACAAGCTTTCGGTGATAAAAGATACTGTACAGATTAGAGACCAAGCGCTGCTGCATTCGGATAACTATACCTATTAAAATCTTAAAGTACACACACATGAACACAAGTTCATTCACTACATTAAAGTCCTTTTACCTTGAAAACATTTCATTCCTTGCCATCCACCAATACATCCTTCCTTACAATCACCCATTACGTGGTGACAGTCATGTGATGTTTTGTTAAAGAGACTGCAATTTCCTTTCACGATTCTTTCCATAAAAGCCTTTATTACACACTATTGTAAAAGAAGGGGGGAAACGTGAAGAAAAAAAATACAGGAAATAATTGATATCTTGAATCCTATCGACCTTCCACTGACAACAAATTGCCTCATTGCTCAATTATCAATTATCCAAACAAACAGAGCATATTTAACAGAAAAACATGTTTTTACACTTTTACACAACTTAGAATTGGTTACATCATCCAAACAAGCTGAAGAAATACGGTCTTTCGATGCCTGGACTCTTCGTTGTTTACATCCCTAAATTCTTCGAGAAGGTATAATGCCCTGATATTATAATGCCTTGATTGACCTGATTGCATATATTTACTGAAATAAAAAGTTTTTATGTGCATAAACACTATTATTTTTATTGAAAATTGTGAATATTATCATTTTCTCAAACAATCATCAAGAAAATGCCAAATAAAATATTTTTATTTAATTTTATTTGACAGAGAAAATTGACAGGGGTATAATGTCCTGATTTTAGGGTATAATGACCTGATGACCTGATAAAATGAAAACCTATAATAAAAGCAAGTTTTCATAATATTTCTTTCATTTTTCAAATTAATTTATTTTCAGTAAGATAAATAAAGGTTTAACAAAAGGAATTTTCAAAAATATCGATTTTTAATTGCTCAAATGCGCTTTTAAAGTTAATAAGGGGTATAATGTCCTGATTTTTGAATGCCCTGATTTTTGCTAATGACCTGATTTCAATACCTATTGTCTATACGCATTCATTAAAGTTGATGAAAATATGAAGAATTCCCTAATAATTTGATGTTCATTAATATATTCTTTTATTTCAGTCTTCATTCCACTTGCAGACACTTGTTTCTGTAATAAATTTTTGATCCATAGTATAATAATACCATGGACCAAAGATTAATTCTAGAAACTGTCAAACAAGTGTCTCTGCTTAATTTATATTGATATTTTTAAGTTGTCACAAAATGTATAATACACAATATCATGCATTTTTTTGTAGAACTCATTGTCATGCATTTTTGTTATGCTAAGGTTTTTTGGACACAATAAAAATCTTTGAAGTAACTTTGATAGCTTTGGAAAAATTAATGAACTTCTTTTTAATGAACAAAATTTATGAGAGACTGCATGGTAGGCAAATGTCAATTTCCAATTATGTGATATCTATGTACTACTTAAAAAAAATATTATTATTATTTACTTTTTTGTAAAATTGATAGGGATGCAAACTTCTTCGAAAAAAATTGAACATGTACCGGTACATGTATATGATCATATCCCAATATTCATCTGCAATATTCTATGGCAAATCGATCAATTAAAAAAAACAGTTTTGATATTCATAAATTTCTTGTTTTTATTATGTCTGATAGTGTCAAAGAGGGACATAGAGGCCATACATATCCTCTTTACTACCTGGGGGTATATCCCATTTATAGCTTCTGTAATTATCACCTGTGTATTCCGGTGAACCGTGTATTCCCAGTCAACCATGTTCTGCTGACCTCATACTTCACAAACACACGTCATAGACTCGTAACTCTCTTATTTATCCTTTAAATTTTATATTAAAGACAAATTTATTCAATAATTAATAAAACTTTTGAATTTATATACTTTTGATGAATATTTTGAATATGTCTAATAACTACAAGTATAGAAACAAAATTATTGGTTCGATCAAAAATCAAAATATCATTATTTAAAATTTAAAGTATTATGAAGCGTTGATTAATCAAAATATCAGGGCATTTCAAAATTAAATTTGTTTTTTCTTGAATTGTTGCGGATATTTAGGTATTATTTAAATTACATGTAAAAATTTTGTTTAAGAAACATAGGTGTTGGAACGGGGAGGGGGGTTGGGGGTTGGGTTGGTAACGATAGAAATATAATAAAGGAATTGAACATTAGGGCGTGAGGTCTACAAAATGCTTTGAATGAATTTGAAAGCTACTGCTCAGAGTGGAAATTACAAGTAAATATTGAGAAAACCAAAATATTAATTTTTTCAAATGGTCCTTTGAACAAAAGAGTATTTTACTATAATAACAAAAGTCTAGAAACTGTCAAAGAATTTAAATATCTTGGTATCATTTTTTCAAGATCTGGCTCCTTTTTAAAAGCCAAGAAGCATCTCTGTGACCAAGCCCAAAAAGCAATGTACGGTGTTATCAGAAAAATAAGACAATTTAACCTCCCTGTAGTATGTCAACTTGATTTATTTGATAAAATGGTTTTACGAGTGTTACTTTATGGTTGTGAAATCTGGGGTTTTGAAAACCTAGATATTATTGAACGTGTACATTTAAAATTTCTGAAACATATTCTGTATTTAAAATCTAGTACCCCGAATTATATGGTTTATGGTGAAACAGGACGTCTCCCACTATCTGTAATTATATATTCAAGAATAGTTTCATACTGGTGTAAGTTACTGAATAGCACAGATAAGAAAATTCCATGTGTATTAAATCAATATTTAATTGCTAATTCACAATATGAAATTGGTAAAAACCCTTGGATTGACTGTGTTCATTGCATTTTTGATTCATGTGGACTATCTCATATTTGGAACGAACAGTTTTATTATCATCCTAATCAAGACTGGGTTACTTCTGTTGTTAAACAAAGATTGCAAGATCAATTTATACAAAAATGATATTCTGATATTAATAGTTCTTCTAAAGGTATTTTGTGTAAGACTTTTAAAACAAATTTTGAGTATCGCAGTACAGTTAAGGCAACACATGAAAAAATATGGTAATGAGGTCATAATGTAGTCTGACTTCATGACAGATGCTCCGACCTGATTGATCCATATAAAGAAATAGTGCTCAAAATAACTATTTACCGATATTTGCCAGACTTTGAAATAAACGGCAATATTTATATGTTTAAATGGAAAATACTTAGTGATTTTCTCGTATTTGAAATAGCATGTTTTTAAATAATTCTCTTTTTAATGTGTTGTTTGTCTGCATTCGGCTTCAGCCAAGCGCTTGCACTCGCTTGACATCAGCTGAGATTTGCAGTGGATTTTAAATGCAATAACCACACAATCTTTAAAGAAAATTGGGATAAAATAGGAGACCAGGCATTGCTTCTCCCTTTTACGAGAATATGAGGACATTATTTCGGAAAATGTCGGAAAACTAAGACGATTTGCACCAGCTCCGTAGATCCATCACTGTAATATTCCAGGCCAGGTATGTATGCGCATATGTAGGTACATGTATAGATCTACAATATGTATACATGCTTTTATCAACATCAAAGAAAAACCCCGAGTATGTGCATGTTCATTTAGATGTATTATTTATTACAGTCAGTGAAAAATTGTAATACATTGCCTTGTGTGTACCCCCTCCCTATACTAAGTTGCACATTTTTAGAATTATTAAAATTTAACTGCACTAAATATGTACTGAGTTCTTGTCAATTAGCTCATCTTCTTTGAGACAATATATGTAGTAATGTAGGTCATCAATAACACAAATTTAAACTAAACTAAATGAGATGTTTTCATTGTTTCAGTCAATGATTCACTAGTGACTAGGCTTAAACAAGTAATCATGTCTTTTGACATACAAACATACTACACAATTTCAAAAAAATTATCAGTATCATTATGTTGAAAACAGAGAACCTCAACTGGTTGTAATTTTGTATAATTTCTGAATTAATTAGAAAATATTCATTTTTTTGTTTAGATTACATGTACAATAAAAATATTTGTATAGTACTTTTATCATTGTAGCTGTCCAGAGTTTCAGACTTAAAGAATGAATAAATAAGAAATGTATCATTTCTCCACGGGGTATGTATACTTCTAAAGCATTTCACATTTTTAAAGCATGCATGTGCTATATAATTTTGTTTTTTTTTTTCATTTTGGTAAAGGTGAAACTCAGAATTTTGTTTAGAAAATATTCTATCAATAACTGTTGTAAATGTCAGAGGTTTCACTTTCCCAGAAAAGTTTTGTAACACAGTTTTTTGCCATTTATATGAATAATATAAATTCACTACAGTATACAATGTAGCATAATTTTTTTGTCAGATGTAATGCCATTTTAATTTACAATGTGTATTTAGTAATCTCATAGCATATAACTGCATACATATTGTGTTGTAGGCCTAGCTATTCCCAAATGTTGGACTAATGGATTCATTCAAGCAGCAAGTTAATCCATCATTTAAGGAAAATGGTATGCTCAGTATTAGCTATAAACCATACAATATTCCTAAACATGCTGGCAAGATTATTGAATTGTTTTGATAATAATTGAAAACTAACAGAAGAATTGAAAACATGTACATGTGCATATGCATTCTATGATAATTAAATGTTTCAATGCATTTTTTGTTTCACTTTTTTAAACACAAATTACTTTCAATAATGGTATTTCCTGATTTTCTTATATTTTCAGAATTCATTTTATCCACAAGAACATGAAGTGATGGAAATGATTTGCACCTGCCCAACATTCCTACAGTCTGTCATTGGATTTGTAACTCTTCAAGATAACAAATAGCTATTTTAACTAGAGTGTCTTGCTAAAAAATAAAACTGTTAAACATAAAATGTATCGAATTCCGTGAGTTTTTATAGAAAATGTTGCCTTAACTGTACTGCGATGAAAATTATTTAAGTATTTTACCACTAAAATTCAGAAAAATATTTGTCAAATTCCGTACTACTAATCACCGTCTACCAGTTGAGCTGGGAAGATGGACTGGTATACCATTAAATGAAAGATTATGTACACACTGTGATGCAAAACATGTTGCGGATGAATTTCATTTTATACTTGAATGTAATGCACTGTCAAAAATCAGGAAAAAGTATATTAATGAGTACTACTTAACTAGACCTAATATTTTTTTGTACATTTTCTCAACTGATGACAAAAGAAGATGCAATGTCACTTAAAAAACTTTGTATGTTTATATCAAAAATATACGATTTAGTCTGTCCTCCATAATTTGTTCCCCTTATTCATTTCATTATTACATGTATCAATATATTTTTTTCTATTTTTTTTTCATTTTCTTTTTCCATTTTTCTCCCATCTCATTTTCTGATTTTGTATATCATATACTTATACCTCTGACCTGATTATATATATATATACATGTATACATGTTGTAAATATTTATCTTTGTCCTCATGTACCATGTATTTAATATGGTGTTGAGTGAATAAATGAACTTGAACTTGAACTTGAACTTGAGGTTAAACAACCCGCCCCCACCCCACCCCTTCCCGAATTTTTGATTTAGGACAATTTACTATTTTTTTCCTTTTTTGTGTCGTTTAACATATGGGATCATTTGAATTTTTTTTTTCAGTGAAATAGCAAGTTTTGGGATGTGTGGAAAATGAGATCTGGTTATTTAAAAATGCAAATTTTTCTTCGATTGAATTAATTGTGTTTTAAAAGATATTCAACAATCAAGTCATTCCAAAATATTAGGTTATCAGATTATGTATCGGGTCATTTCAAAATATCAACAACTAGGTCATCAACTTTTTTTTACTATTATAATGAAATTCTTAAAATCATTTTCCTTTAAAAGTACATAGACTGTAAGTTCCAGTACAGAATCATCAAATATTATGCATAATTCCACCAATAATTTATTATCATATGCAAGCATGTTTTACATGTTTTACATGATACTATCAATATGCTTCATTTGTATATGCCTTTTTTTTCTTTTTTTTTTTAAATTCTCAAAAATTCACTATATATTTTTTCAATTTTTTTTTCTAATATCTACATTAAGATTATATAACTTAAGATTATCAAGAATTAATTAAATCACACATAATTTACATGTAAATTAGGTCAATCGGCATTATCAGGGCATTCAGAAATCAGGACATTATACCCCGTGCAAACTTTAAAAGCGATTTTAAACGATATACAATCGATAATTTAGCCCACACTGAATTAAACTACTTTAATATATGACCTTTAAAAGTTATTAAATCAAATTGTAAATTTTAAGTTTTGCTGAGTTGGGTTTATTAGAAGATTTTATACTATCAGGTCATCAGGTCATGATACCCTTCAATCAGGACATATACCCCTGTCAATGTTCTCTGTCAAATAAAACTTAATAAAAATATTTTATTTAGCATTTTCTTCATGATTCTTATAGAAAATGATGATATTCACTATTTCCATTTAAAATAACATTGTTTGTGCACATAAAAACTCTTTATTTCAGTAAATATATGCAATCAGGTCAATCAGGGCATTATACTATCAGGGCATTATACCTTTCCAAATTCTTCCGGTGACCGTTCACGGTTAGATCGTACGCCGTGTTACTCGAAGTTTATAATGTAAATCTGTTTTTAAAGAAAAGAATGTTTTATTTTCGATTGAAATTTTATAAATATTTCTTTTGTAAACATTTTATTTTGTATTTCGTTTTTGTTATTTATTCTGAAATAAGAATGAACAGTTGCTCGAATCTGATTGGCTGTAGGATACAGGATAGGCTAGGATAGGAAAGGATTGGATTAACTTCTATATGTTTCTATTGTGAATCCTCACTCCTGAATCCTATCCGATCCCATCCCATGTCAACTTGTGGGATAGCAGCATTGTAACCTGAGGTACGCAACTGGAAGTCGCAACTGCATTTGGTGTACATCAATCGGCTTTGCAGCGGTTAAATTCACGTCTCCACCAGCTAGGAACTCGGATGAAAGACCAAGAACTGGCTTTCCGAGCTAGAGTTACCACACCCAGATACGACCGTCAGATTCTCATTCAGTACCTGCTCAAGAACCTGGTATTCGTGTATGACGTCCGTACATTGGAAATCCACTTGAGCAAAGAGGTCGCAAAGAACATATGGATTGATTAAGACGTATGCCTCTAGAATTTAGTGGCTATGCCAATGACATCATCTTAACTTATCAATTTTGAACAGAGGACATGTTTGATTTTTATCACAACACACTCTAAATCACTTGAAATAAAGGTTTAAACTGAAAACTTAGATTTCCATGTTTAATCTGAATATGCGTTTCTTTCTTTTTTGTTGAGTATATATAATTCCTGTGACAAGAACCTATGCATTGCAAGTGCCCTGAAGAAGTCCTACGATTATTTGTTTTGTTTTTAAGAGTCATTTAACATCAATAAAATATCCCGTTCATTTAAAACCTTTACTCTAAACGACATACGAAAACATATCTTTTTATACAATTTTCACCTCGGTATTCTGTTATCCTCTTCATTCTAGTAAATATGCAAAATCTTCTCGAATGTAAAACGACTGATCCACTTTGACCAGTAACCTCAATATGGCAACATGTATTTGGTTGAATGGCTAATCATTTCAAGTCAAGTTGAGTGGGTCTGCAAAAATGTATGCAGATATAAGTGATAAAAAGTACAAGTATCAATGAGACTTACTAGTATTTGTTGTCCCCGGTTACTTGTCAAATTTCGAACATATATCAAAGGCCTTAAAATTTTTAAATTAAAGTTCGAGTTTTTGTTAATGTTGCAGAATCACCTCCGAGGTCAAAAAATGTTGTTTGAAAGATAAAAGGCTTTTTAATTTCAAACGGCATTTCGAGACCCATCATGTAATTCTACATCATTCCCGACAAGAAGGATTTTATTCTACTCTACTATGAGCTCTAAAATCCCTCTATAGTTAAACAAATCATATTGTAGGTCAAGTTTTGTGTACACTTTTCCATTGAACACCAAAACGTATTTTTTATTTGAGTATAAAAAACAGACTATTTAAGTTTTCGCTGCATTCAAAATTTTATTTCTTATGAATTTTTGTATCATTAATTTATTATTTTTTATGAATGTACAATAACAGAATCTGTTTTCTATTTTCTTGCTTTTATCACTAAAATCACGTTGTAAGGGGGGGGGGGGGTCTGTGAAACAGCCTAGCTTAGCTAATATGTTTTACGGTGTGACCGTTGGGGCGAGCGCAGTTGTACCATGAAAAACACTCTAAAAATTGATCAGCCACTTCAAACATCAAGCCGCACGAGACATCTCGACTAGCTGTGACGTCACACGACGTCACGGAGCTCGTTGGAGCTTACGGAGACAGCCCAGCGTCTGTTTGAAACTATAGACCTAGTGGAATTTTGGTTGAAAAACTTTGCAGAGTTATTTTTTTGTTTCTTTGAAAGGTTTCTACAAATTGATCTAGCCTTTATGCTTTACTTTATTTATTTATTTATTTATTTGCGCAAAGGACATTGGGTAGTGCAGGAATTCTGGGAATGTTGCACAGAGAATTTTGGCTGACGTATGTACAGATTTCAATCCGAATTTCCTCTGTTCTTACACGTTAGTCTATTGAGCTCGCTTCGCGAGCGTCGCTTCGCTACGTTCGCTGCGCTCGCTATAAAAATTACATTTATCAGATACTTTATGTAATTTACAGTTTTTCTACTGTGGAAGACGACACATCGAGTCTAAAAAAGTCGTTAATTTTAGATTCAAATATTCATTTCAATTTCACTTATCTGATACTCGTTTCTGATAATTATTGGATGACTTTCGTGATTTATTGGAGAATAATGTCCACAGCATATCTTTTATCTCAGAAGTAATTGTGGTAGAATATTAACTGATGATCTTGTTGTTTGATTCATCATCTAATATTGTCAAGTAATAGATATACGCAGCACGTGAAGATGTCTGTTGAGGTTTGGGTCCTTTGATTTTCATGAATATCAAAAGAACACAATGACAGATACACTCTTTAATAAAAATAATATTAATATTTTTCGTTAATATGCGACAAGATTTGCTTTTCCTAAATATTGAGAATAAAACTGAAATTTATGAAAGAGCAAAGACAGTCAATCAAACACTTCCAAAAATTCAAAGTTTCAATAACTTTTTGATTGAAATAAGATTTTATATATATATATATTTTGCGTTTTTGGCCTCCTCAGCTCCTGACCTATTCACCTGCCTAATTAGCATTCCCTTAGAATTATGAAAAAATCAACTCCGTCAATTTTCAGAGTTACAGTGTATCACAGAGAACAAGAAAAAGAAATATATAGATATATTTTCGAAGGGAAATTTAACCATGAACTGACCACGGAGATACTATATATTTACTGTATTAGGATATTCTTCCTTTACCCTGTGTGACAAACAGCGTATATTTAAAGAGTAAAATTACAGCATTTTACGCTGCTAAATTGCACTTCATCAGTTAAAGCCTGGACCTTATCAAAAGGTGATCTCTTTTGTTTCAAACTTTGCTTGATTATTAAACAAGGGAAAGGCATATCTGCCTTCAATAATTTTCTGATATTCTAGATTATTATAGTTGTACTGTAATTACTTTATATAATATTAATACCATAAAACTGCTGTCTATTTCCCCTAGAAGAGACCCTTTCCCTCACTTGAGGACTACTCCCTGAAAAATCAGAGCTACTCCCTTTGACTACTCCCTCATGAATATTTATTAGTAATTTTAAC